CACAGGAGTTAATACTGCACGTGAGATATGCTGTTTGCTTCTCTGTAGCAAGGCTCGAGGCACGGGGACCCCGAGTCCACAGCCAGCACTGCAGGGCCACCCCTGCACCAGGTGCCCAGGACCCCCAGCCACCCTCACACCAGCAGACTGCGGACCCTGGCTGTCTCGCTGGCACACGTCTGTCCTGAGGCCAGGACTGTGGCCCCGGAGTGCTCTGACGCCCTGCAGGCCTTCCCCCGCTCTGCTCCTCGGTCTTGGGCTTTCCCTTCCTGTTAATTTTTCCATGTGAACCAGTGCTTCTCGTTCCTGTGGTGAGGGGTGGGGGACCTGTTAGTGTTTTAATTAGGATCAGTTGCCTTTGTGAATTCACTCAGAAGGAACGGTTTGTGTCTCATTCCTGTGTCACCGACAGACCACCACCATTTTATTGGCTCACTGTTCTGTGGGTCAGCAGCCTGGGCTAGGCTCCCCTGGGTGGTGCCTGTGGCTGCAGTCGGCTGGCAGTTGGCTCATGTCTGCTCCACGTGAGCAGCCCGAGGCCCTCACTTGGTGATGCAGGTGGCATGGGGGGAGCTCCGGGCTGGGGACCTGTGACGTCCCTCCCACCACGGTCTGCTTGTGGGGTGAGCCGGAAACCCACCAGGCCCGCATCTGAGGGACAGGCAGCGCGCTTTGTCAAGGGCGGGAGTGAGCATGGGGGGTGTGGGTGTGGGGGGGACGTTGCCACCTGTCCTGTGTGTGGTGGTCTCCACTGGCTCTCCTTTGCATCCTTCAGGAAGTTCGCTGGTTTCCTTTGCACAGACTTTATGTCTTCTGAAGCGTGTCACTTGGTATTTTGTCATTTTTTACTGCAGACATGCACGGGGTCTTCTCTGCTGTGCCTTCTGTTTTGGTGTGTTCACGGGGCCATGGGGCGATGTGCCCGTGGGGCTGGCTGAGTTCCCCTGATTGCCTGGACACGTGCCTGAGCTGTGTGTCCCCATCTTCCTGGGCTGTGAGCTTACACCCCACTTGCTTTAGAGGAAATCCCTAGTCCTGGACCTCCAGTTTCCCCTCTTCCTTCCCCTGCTAGCAGCAGAAAGTGGAGCAGCCTAGGAAGACACACACTGAGGATGGCGGCGCCCAGCAGCCTGGGCCCCCGATGTCCGCGGGGGCGGAGCGCCTCGGCTGCTGGGGGCTCCCCACCTTCTGCGCAGGCCTTCCTGACTACTCCGTTTCCCCAAGGGCCACCCCAGCCAGTGGCCTGGAACTGTTAAGTCAGAGGGAGATACACTTTTCTATTGTCTTAGTGCCTTCTAGTTAAGTAGAAGTAGCTACCGACAGTATTAGGCTGCTGCTGTCTGTACGTCTGTGTTTGTGTCAGTCCTTTCAGTGTCAGGCCACCCCTCTGGCTCACAGAGGCTTCTCTCGGGTCCGTGCCATACACGCCCACCTGCAAGTCGTGGCTTTCCTCATCCTTTTTGGTTTCCAGGCCTGTTAGTGACTCCAGGTGCTGAGGAGGCTGGACGGCAGCAGACCATCAGTGAGGAAATGTGTCGTTTTCAGCCTTCCTGAAAGACATGGTGGCCCCTGCAAGTGAGTTCACTGCAGAGCTGGAATGAGCCCCTTTAAGGCTGGAAACTAGGATTGTGTTTTGTCTAATATAAAATTTAAAAATTTCAGCTGGGCTTGTGTGACTACCTTCCTGCGTGTCGGCCTTCTTGAATAGCATGGGGACCAGGGCACAGCCTTCCTTGGCAGTGAGGTGGAGTCAGTAGGGACTGCAGCTCGGCATCACGTCCTCATTGGTGATGCCGCCCAGGGCGCTGGGTCTGCAGACCTGCCCCCAGCCCCCACCCCCACGGCCCCCGCACTGGACACCTCGGCCCTGCAGCTGACTCAGGCTGCAGCTCGCACCACCCTGTCAGCAGCATGCCTGCCTCCTGCGTCCCCTGGGCCCCTTTGCCTCTGGTGCTTCAGAGTCGCTGTGGGCCTGGAAGCCACCCTGCACACCTGCCAAGCTGCGTTTAAACCAAGAGTGAGGAGAAGGCGGCCAGGGAGCCAGGGTCCTGCTGTGAGTGAGGTGCACCTGCTCCGCGATACCCAGGCCAGGCTGGCTGCTCAGGGGTACCTGGGGCTCCCCCTGGTTCCTGGCCATGTTTGGAACAGCGAACATTGCCACCCTGAATTATTTCATGATCCTTTACAGACACTTGAGATGACATTCTCCCTCTAGGGTGCTTTGCTTCCTATAGTGAGCCCTATTCACACACTTTCCCCTGCAGTGTTTTCTGACTCGGAAGCAATACAACTGTCCACATGCAAACCAAAGGCTGGGGCTCACGCCCTCGCCCCGCAGCGTGACCTGTACTCTGCTGCCTGATGGCAGGCCTGCCCTGCTCTGCCCACTTCGTGGAGACACTCAGAGGCGGGACGGGGGCAGTGGGTGGAGGGTGGGTAGTTGGGGGAAGGAGGGCATAGGGGATGGAGGGCAGGCAGCAGCCGTTTCTTAATTCTCTTTCATTATGGACTCTGAATTTGGATCAGTGAAACGCATATGTAACTAAACAGTCCTTTTTGTCCTGTAATTTGGACCTCCCATCTAGAACATCAACAGTGACTCACTTTGGGCATATTTAATGTCTTATCCTGGCACCAAGCACTGTCTGCTCCAGGTCAGGTCTGGGAAGACAATGCCAACAGGCAAGGTGAGCCTGCAGAGCTTCAAGCCTGGTTCGAAAGGGGTCACAGTCCCAGGGTGGTGGTCAGCGGCTGTGCCTCCCCAAGCTTCAGGAGCCAGGGCAGCAGGCCACCCAAAGTGGTGCCCACAGCATGGGCCAGCCCCAGCCCAGGCCCAGCTCCTGCTCCTGCCGAGCGTGTGCATGGCTGGGCGGCTCGAGACACTGTACCACAATGCTGCAGTTTCCAATCGGTGCTACTCCTCCACTGTGTGATTTAGACACTTTGGCAGAGTCAGGAAGGGTTGCAGATGGAAGGCCTGACGTTGCCTCTGTGGGTAGATGAGATGCAGAGAGAGCCGTGACTTCTCTGCACACAGCGAGGATGTGGGGTCGCCTGCCACCACCCTGGATAGCTCCAAGGACATCCAACTCAGCTTCAATTTCTACTTCTGTGGAAAGGTTTTGTTGGAAATACGGGGGTTTCTGTAAAGAAGCAGAGTGCCTGGTACAGACATCTGGATGCCAGACGCCTGACCATCGCTCTTGAGGAAGAGGGACCAGTGCTGGGAGGGTGTTCCACGGTCGTCCTGGTGCTGGACTCAGTGGGGGTGCAGTGAACCGAAGGGTCAGCCCTGGGGCACACGGAGGCCAGGTTTGGGCTTACTGGTGGGCCCTGAGCGACCTGGGCAGCAGGGCCAGGCTTACAGCAGGGCGTGGGGAGTGGGCCGCAGACGCCTCTGCACCTGAGACGCCGGCATTCCAGATGGGAGTGTGCAGTGCTCGGCAGCTGGGCTATGAGAAATGTGCCAAGAGGTGTGCTCAGCTCTCCGGACTCTGTGGAAGGACTTTCTACACCTGAGGTTCAGGGGACAGAGCAGGGCCTGGCCACTGTTCCCCCAGAGGGCAGTTGTGAAATAGATATCTGAATGAGAGCCTGTGTCCACACGGAGGCTTGACCTGGAAGGTGCAGGCGGCTTTATTCACGGTCACCAAAGGTGCACACAGCCCGGCGCCCACCAGCAGGTGAGCGGAGAAACTGGACTTTCCACACGCAGAGGCGGCTCTGCAGCCAAGGGCTGAGCTGCCGTGCACACTTGCAGGCGGCTGCTGCTGTGCACTGAGCCTGTGTGGCAGGTGCCTGCGGCTGTCTGTGTGGACCTCCAGCGAAGGAAGACGGATCTGCATGCAGGAAGCTGAGTGGTGCTGCCGGGGTTGGGTCCCCGGGAGGAGTGAGGATGGGGCCGCACAGTGAGAGCATCTGATTTGTGTGTGAATCATACCTTGTGCCCTAGCGATGGAGTTGGCAGGGCTGGCATGGAACGTAGTTCTAGAAGTGTCCCAGCTGATGTGACAGTCTTCAAGGTGGCTTCTGGGGACCTGGTTTTCTGGCCTATGTGTCAAAGCCACGGATGGTGGTGGGGTGGGGTGCAGAGAGTCTGCCAGAGGCCCAATGATAAGCCAACCTTTTCATGACTCAGCTTCAGAAACTGAGTCCCATTATTTCAGACCCTGGAGCAGCAGGTCCCCGGGTCCCAGGTGTGCTCTGCACAGAACGTGAAGCAGGGCGGAGGGGCGGAGGGGAAGGGACACTTGGCGGCTGTGTCCTGGGCCCGCCCCACTGCCCAGCACCAAAGAGCATGTGGGCTCATTTCCAAAGGGCCAGATTTGCAGGGTTCACAGCTGTGGCCACCCAGTGTCACATGCTGGCCCTGCCTTTGAGTCGCCGCTTCCCGCTGGCTCCCCACCTCACAAGAGGGACTATCGGGCAGCTTGCAGAGCCAGTGCGACCAAGAAACGTGAGCTCTGCCTTCACCCTGGGAACTAAGAAATGCAAGTAGAAAAGGGGAGGAAAGCTGGTTGGGATGTCGGGGGTTACTGCTTTTGTGTTAGAAACTAAAACAAAAGGATTTTGGCTTTAAAAAGTGCCTAACAGTTTGGGAATTAGAAGGCATTAGTTGAGATATTGTGGGTCTGTTCTTAATGGAGATTTTGTGTGCAGTTTTTTTGAGCTTTTAAATAAGAGGTCAAAGAAATAAAAATTACTTCTAATGCGTTTACCTGGAGGTAATCACCATCAAGACTTCTGTGTGTTTCCCCTAGGAAGTCCTTTCTTCCTTTCTTGGCTGCATGAGGCAGGTGTGCACCTGACGTGTGCAGGCACTATGTCTGAGCGACTGGGTCTGCTCGTCCTCCACCCTGTCACTTTCAGGACAAAGTCCCGAGTGTATCATGGCAGGCTGCAGTGAGAACCTGGGTCCTGGCTAAGGAGCGTTACTGCTGTGCTGCCTGCAGCCCCTGGGCCCCTGGCACACCTCCTGACCGCTGTCCCTGCCCTTCCAGGACGGCCGTGCTCAGTGAAGGGCCTTGCTCTGGCTCCTGAGCAGTGACCATGGGCCTGCTTGCCTACCTGAAGACGCAGTTCGTTGTGCACCTCCTCATCGGGTTCGTCTTCGTGGTGAGCGGGCTGGTCATCAACTTCATCCAGCTGTGCACGCTAGTCCTCTGGCCCGTGAACAGGCAGCTATACCGCCGGCTGAACTGCCGCCTCGCCTACTCGCTCTGGAGCCGTAAGTATCTCCCATCACGCGTGGCTGGGGGTGCGGCCTGGCAGCAGGTTAGGAAAGTGCCCTTTCTGCTGGATGGGTCCCCAAATAAGCCAGCCTCAGGCTCCCCAGTGCGTGAGGGCTCAGGGCGTGGTGGGGGTGATGCTGGTGACCATGTGACAAGGGGACAGCTGTCCTGGATCCCATCCTGGGACAGGAATTGAGGGCCTGCTCAAGAGCCCCAAGGCTTGATTCCTGCCAGTGAATGTGCAGAAAGATGCTCGGCTGGAGTCCTCATCAAGCCGAACCATGTAATGTTGCTGCATCTGACCATCTCAAGCCACAGAGACGGCAGCGTCAGACAGATGGTGGCTCAGCTCACGGTCACACAGCCCTCAGTGCCGCCAGCATGTGGCTGGTTGTGTCCCACCTGTGCCCCAGCCACACACATCAGCAGCCCATCCTCTCTGTTACCTATCTCTGCAAGGCAAGGATTCTCACCTCCTAATTACATGTGTGTGTGTAGACATGTGTCTGCTATCCACATGTCCTCATATGCGGATTTGTACATATAAAACCAATCTTCACCTGTCACATGGACAGAGACTTAAAAGTTTAACAACACTTGCAGATGGCACGGGTGAGCACTCACACTGGGATGGGGGTGACCAGGCACATCCTCGGACGGCAGCTTGCCAGGGGCTTGAACAACTTAAACAGATATGTTTTTTGACCCAGTTATTCCACAAATTAATGTAACCTAGAAAGATACCTGTGAGAGTACATATATGTAGAAATTCTCATTTTATCATTTTTGTATTAGCACAAAATGGGCAGCAACTAAATGATTACAGTATGTCCATTCAGCGGAATCCCATGCAGCCATTTAAGAAAAAGGACAATCTCTCTTTACTGATAGAAAACCATCTTCTGGTTTCACATATAGTGTGCTGTGATCTTTCTTCAAAGGCAGGCGGCTGTGTGGTGTGTGCCCTTGTGCATGGCTGTACATCATTGAAAAGTCCCGAGAGGCTGCACAGGAAATCGGGGCATCCAGGGAGCAGAGGGAGGGGGATTCTGATCTCTCTTTCTTACTGTGGTCATGTTGTATACATGTTTTAGCAAAGAACATGTTTCTTTTATAATAAGGAGAAAATGATACACATTTTGTGTCACAGGGGAACTGGCGAGTCTCTGATACCCTGCCCTTTCAGAAGCAGCCGAGACACTGTGAGGAGCCTGTGGTGGCACTGGGTGGTATGCGGGCGCTTCCTGCCCCATCTGAGGAGCAGCCCCTGGCTCGTGGCCCAAGCTCGCCTTAAATGTCTCATAGCCTCGTTTCCCAGGGTCTGAGGTTTCTTTCCCCCTGATTAAAAGGCTACCTTTTTTGTAGGAAGGGAGAACTGGAAATCCTGTAATACAAAACATACAAATGAGTTATGCATGAGCATAACTGGGTAAAGTGAATGCATAGCAAGGGAGCAAATACTAATTAATAACAACACTCCAGCAGTATTCTGGGGTTAAAACATTACAAAACAGCTAAATCCTGGATAAAGCTGGCTTTGTAATGCATTGCTGGGCTCACAGTAAGCAAAGGAAATCTCTCAGCCTCACCCCATCCCCATCCCTTTAGAAAAAGGCAGGGCGCTGAAACAGAATATCAGCCTGTGTCTCAGGAGCGCCAGCCTTGGCCGCCAGAAGAGGGAGGCAATCCCAGACCCACTCCCGCTGGGTGGCTGAAGAGGCGCCGGCAGTAAGCCCGCAGAGGCACACGGGAGTGTGCTTGTGGCAAGGACCGCTGGGCTAGGCCTGAAGAGTCACTCAGATTAAGACAAATCAAATATGAACTCAAAGCCAAAGGACATCGAAAACAACAGATTTAGACAAAGGCCACCGGAAGACCCAAAGAGCACTTCTATAAATGGAAATCGTGATTGTGGAGTATTTTTTAAAGCGAAGAGTTACTGAATGAATTTACGTCCAGATTAGACACAGCTAATGAGAGAATGGGTAAATTGGATGTAAATGTGAGGAAATCAGAGCACCCAGAGAGGCAAGATGAAGTAGGAGGTGGGGCCGGAAGATGGAGCAGAGCAGGAGATGCTCTAGGAAACAGGTCCTGGCCTCCCATCCCAGAGGACAGGGCAAGGGGAGCCAATGCTGGGAGAGACAATGGCTGACAGTTGTCCCAAACAGCCAAAAAGTGACTCTGTGGACCTAGGAAGATAATGTGTACAAATCCACACTTGGACACATCACAGTGAACTCACAGCCATCAACACAAAACAAAGATCTTAAAAATACCCAGACAGGAAAGCCGGGGCACCCAGTGACCCACGGCCTCTCACAGACTACACGTCAGCTGGGGCCAGGGCAGCAAGGGAAGGGCACTGCCCAGGACTCCTTGCCACCACGGGTCCTCAGATGGGGGTGGGGTGAAGGCAGGGAGCAGACAGTGGGAGCATTCGCCACCTGCACATCTTCACCTGAAATGTCTTTAAAAGAATGTACTTGAGTAAGAGCAAAAGCTATCATCAAAGTAGTCAGAGGCAAGAAGGAGCGGTGGCCAGAGAAACTGGTACGGAGTGACTGAACAGTCACGTGACATGGGATAATGTCCAGCTCACACATGTGAAGCTGAGAACAGATGGGCCTGAGCCCAGGCAGCCTGTGTGCTGGAATCAGCATAGGCCCACCACTCTTGTGTCTGCTGGGAAGGGAGTGGAGACCTTAACTTTAAGAACAGGGGAAAAGGCAAGAAAGTAGAAAAAGGCATAAATATAAGAAAACTTAGGTAACAGTTAGGAAGAGTAATATGAAGTCCCTCAATGTTTGGAAGGAAAATAGATACGAAAGCACCAGCCTTCTGTTTTCCAAACGCAGAACTGCGGGTGACCCAGCAATCCCACTGCTGAGTATATGCCCAAGAGGAATGAAAACAGATGCCACGCAAACAGGTGTACGTGGATGCTCATAGCAGTGCTACGCACAACAGCTGGAGGGGGACCGGCGAGAGGTCCCTCCTCTGATAGCAGGTGGGGCAGCGCATTTGTGTTAGGTGGGTGGTGGTTTATTTTCCTCAGTTCTTGTCCCACCACAACAAAGAACTGAGGGCAGAGACATAGCAGCGAAGCAGAGTAAGAATTTTGTTTAAAGTTACCCACCTAAAGAGTGAGAAAGTGTGGACATTCTTAGTGGGGAAGACTGAAAGGTTGAAAAATTTTTTTTAAGTTGTTGGGAGGAATTCAGTTTAGAGAAGTCAGAGTACAAGGTGAGGAAGGAATTCATTTAAGTGACAGTGTCAGGGAATGACCCAACAGAGTGATAAAGGAAGGTCATTGAACTACTTCTCAGCAAGGGTGCATCCCCTGCCAGCTCCTTAAGCCAGTGTCACCTGGTATCCAGTGTCTGCTTGAGACTGCATGGCGTGGAAACTGAGTCCCCACCACCCCGGGATCGGGGGGAGCCGCAGAGCCCTGGATGGAGTGTGAGCTTCCTAGAGACAGAGAAAGGAGGCTTCCAGGCCGGCTGCTAAAGAGCGTGACCTTGAGCTGCAGCTCCTTCCCAGTCCCGCAGGGGATGGTGATTTGCAAGCCCAGATCTGAGCTCTCAACAGCCTCTCCCTGCTTACCTGAAATAGGACAGAGGGAGGAGAGATTTGAGCTTAAATCTGGAGGATTAAAATGAAATAGCAAAGTAACAAAGACACCACTGGAAAAGTGCAGACAAAACTATGTAAGTTGAGCAGTGAGAAGTTTACTTAAGGCAAAAAATGCACACTTGGAGAAAACGGGGTGTGGACAACCTCAGAGAAGAGGTGTGCTGCAAGGTTTAAGTTTTAATTAAAGAGAAAGTGCAGGCACTCTCAGAGAGGAGCCTGAAAGGCTGAGAGAAAGTGTGGGCATCCTCAGAGAAGAGGCGTACTGAAAGATTGGGGGTTCCCCCTCTTAAGGATTTTTCAGGAATGTGACAAAGTGCTGGGGGTGTGGACTTGTCAAGTGGTCTCAAGATGTTTATCTCTGGTGAGAGATATTACGTCTCTTCTATTATCAGTCCTCCAGGTAATTCTGCAAAATTAACTGGACACAAGAAATTTACTGATCGGGTTCCTTCCCAGGATAGCAGCTTCCCTCTGGGAACCTATGTATCAGGACCAACTCCCCTGCCCCCAAGGTGGGCTGAGTTATTGTCTGTTTGCTAAAGAGTATGTTAGGAATCTTCCTAACTTTCTGGGTTTTAAAATGCAATCTTAGCTTTAAGATGGAATCTTTCCTGTTTTTGCTATGCTGTTTATGGCTGTGCTTGTTTGTTAATTAATCATGATGCTCGTCTCCTGCCCAGGTTGCAGGTTACCTGACTAGGGGAAGGAGGAGGGAAAACATCATGTAGGTTAAGTTAAAGAACAAGCCGGGCCTTTCAGCAGCTACAGTAAATCTTACAATGGCATCATCTCATCGACACAGTGAAGACAGGGGCTGCGCTCAGATACTTTTCTTTATCTGGGGAATATTTGGACACTCCAAGTTACTCCTGTCCCTTTGAGCTTTAGCTGATTAATTCATTAACTGTGAGTCTTTTCTGGCTCTCTAGTTTTGTCTGGTTGACTCTTTGAGTCCCTTTTCGTGGGCTTCACTGGCCTTATTCTCTCTCCACCCCGCTTATACCTATTTACCTGCCTAACACGCGCACACAGCCGCAGCCTCCCGCTGTAGCAGAGCGTAGTCCTGCCGCGCCCGAGCCACGTGCCAGTCTTGCAGCTGTCATGCCACATGAGGGGCCGGGTTGCAGGATTCCATTTATCATGTGCCCGGAACAGGCGCATCCGGAGAAACAGGAGCAGAGTAGTGACTGCACGGCTGGGGAGGGTGGGTGGGGAGTGACTGACAGGTGCAGGGTTTCCTTCTGGGGTGAAATGACCTAAAATCAGGTCGAGGCAATAGTTGCATGACCGTGAGACCACCAAGACTGCTGGACCCTACGCTGCAGATGGGCAGGTTTATCTTACTAAAGCTGTTTAAAAGAGAAAAGAGGAGGAGAAGGTGCAAGGGAAGGCTGCCCTGCACACCTGTAAGCACCCCACACACCACTGCCTGGGGGCCGCAGCCCAGACGCGGCCGTGCAGCCTGACCCTAGCCGGGGCCCCACTTCCTCTCCAGCCAATCTCTTTGACCCATGGAGGCAGCCGCTGCCTGACTGGCCCTCAGGAAGCGAGGACTGGCTCCTGAGTGTTGGGGTGTTGTCTAAGACGGGCCTTTTGTCTGGAGGAAGCTTTGGCGTGCTGCGGTGAGGCCGTGTGATTGTCAACATGTTGGGGAAAGAGCTTGTGCACCCCGGCCCCACCGGGATGCTGGGGCCACTCGTAGGGGAGAAAACCAGCCTCGGCCTCTGGTTCTCAGGGGCCCTACCCTCCAGAGGCCACTGTCGTCTCCTGTCTGTAAGTGGGGAATCCGAGGCCCCGGCAGTCTGGCTGGGAGCCTGCTCTCTCTGCCCTGGCTCCGTTGGAAAGCAGATGGGCTGGTGTCCAGCACAAAAAGAATGGACTGTCCTGTGGCAATCCTGAGCCAGAAAGCCTGGTCTGTGAGGTCCCCCTTCTCGGGACACCTGGCCATGGTGGGCGTGACGCTGGCTGGCCGTGGCTCATCTGCTGATAGCAGCGCCCCATATCCCCCAATCTGTGGGACACATGAACCCCTCAAGCTGACCACAGGCCCCGGGGCTGTGTGCATGTGCCATCCCTGGCCCCCTGACTCTGGGTGCGATACGTGAATCCCATCAAGCCAGAGCACACATGAGAACCAGCTGACGTAAAGGTGTCGCCTCTGAAATCATGGCTGTTCTCCATTTCTCCTGCTACTTTTCATTTGCCTCTCCTCTGACTTTTGCTCAGAGATGGTGATTATAATTCTCAAAAACTTAATTTATTAAGCATAAGCCATTAAAACTCACCTTATAGCAGAGCATCCCCTCTGGATGGAAATTTTGCAGAAGCCCCCTGCCCTGGTGACACATCCACATCAGAGGGATGGGGCCTGGCTCAGAGTGTGGCCTCCTGCACCCCACTGACACCCCTCACGTGTGTCCACAGAGCTGGTCATGCTTCTGGAGTGGTGGTCATGCACGGAGTGCACTTTGTTCACAGACCAGGCCACGGTGGACTGCTTTGGCAAGGAGCACGTGGTCATCATACTCAACCACAACTTCGAGATTGACTTCCTCTGTGGATGGACCATGTGTGAGCGCTTTGGCGTGCTGGGGGTGAGCAGCATGGAGGCCCTGGGGGCTGGGAGTGAGCAGCATGGGGGCCCTGGGGGCTGGGGGTGAGCTGTGTGGGGGCCCGGGAGGTGCTGGCATGGCACCCTGGGGTCTGGGTTTTCATTTCCTCCGCTTTAGCCCCTGGTCCCTCGGGGTCAAAGTGTGGCTGATCTGAGGCGGCCTTGGACTGCCCTCAGCTGCTGCAGGGCCACTCTTGGTACTGGCTGCTCTTGTATTTCCTCTCACAAACCCTCACTTGCTGTGTGAGTCCCCAGAGCTCCTTGGTCAAGCTACCTCGGATGAAACACAAACATGGCTGAGACAGGCAGGGGTCTTCCACTGAAGGGAGGGAAGCCCCGGGCCTGGCGGCCAGAGCAGACGCTCAGAGTCCCAGGTACCCGCCCTCCCTCCTGCCGGGACGGCCGCAGCACCCAGGTCTGCACCTGTTTCCCGTCTGTAGGACGGGCTCCTACACTCCTGGAGTGGTGCTGCCCTGGGCAGGGCCACGCTCAGCATAGGGTCCCCCTGACGGTTATGTCACCGGGTGGGGGTGCTGCCTCAGGGACTTCGCGGACTCGTGCTGACGGCTCCCTTCCCTCCAGAGTTCCAAAGTCCTTGCCAAGAGGGAGCTGCTCTACGTGCCCCTCATCGGCTGGACCTGGTATTTCCTGGAGATCGTGTTCTGCAAACGGAAATGGGAAGAAGACCGAGACACTGTCATCAGGGGGCTGCAGCGCTTGTCCGACTACCCCGAGTACATGTGGGTGAGTGCCCTGCACCAGCTGTCCGCGGGGCCACGGGGCCTGCTGCACCTGTCACGCCGCTTACGGCACGCTGACGACAGTGGCCCATGCGGCAGCCCACCTGCCACCCTCTGGGGCCGCCTGCGCACCTGCCCCCCTGCCCCAGGTCAGACCCAGAGCCCTGCTGGAGCTGGCGGGGCGGGCCGCTGCCCGGCTGAGGAGGACCCCGGGAGGCTCCCTGTTAGGCACCAGAGCAGAGCCAGTGCCGCAGTTGTGGGTAAGTCTCTGCCTCACAATGAGGGGGACACATGCAGCGCTCGGAGGCAGGGTTCCTCCAGCCCCGGGTGACGGCGGGACAGCGTCCGCAGTTAGCGAGAGGGATCGGTCTCTTCCTTTCTGGTCCCTGGCAGCAGGTCTTTGAGAACCAGCTCCTTACTGATTGAGCTGTCTTCTGCATTCTTTGAGGATAAGTGCCAGCTGCCGGCCATTCTGTGAGGGAGGCCGTGTGGCCAGCGTGGCGACCGCAGCCCTAGAAGTGTCATCTCAGATCATGCCGCCTGCCTGTCACTAGACAGGCTCTACCCTTTGCCCCTCCACAAACTCAGCAGCAAAGGATGCGTGGCCAGGCAGGGCAGCGTGTGAGTTGGGCTGAGCTCCTCACCCAATGACACACCTGACGCGGGATGGCCTCTGTCCCACCCTAGTTCCTGCTGTACTGTGAGGGCACGCGCTTCACGGAAATGAAGCACCGCGTCAGCATGGAGGTGGCTGCCTCCAAGGGGCTGCCCCCACTCAAGTACCACCTGCTGCCTCGTACCAAGGGCTTCACCACCGCGGTCCAGTGCCTCCGGGGGACAGGTGAGGGCCGCCGCCCCGAGACAGGTACTGCTGGGTTCCCTGGGCTCTGCATGGAGTGGGAAATGCAATCAGTGACCATCCAAACCGCGTGGGTGAATTGCCGTGAAAGAGACACCAGTGGCAGAAGAGAGAGAATCAAGTAATGGTTAACCTGTGACAAGATTCTTACACCGTTTTTGAGGTGATAAAATGCTAGTTAATGTAAACTAATGAAAATAATAATAAAAAGTATACAACTGAAAACCTCCTGAAGGAAATACATATAAAATTCATCCAAAAGGAGGCAGATCAAGGGGAGTGTCAAAGAGCAGCCGGAGCAAGTGGAGAGCGGCCGGGGGTCGGGGTCGGCACGGACAGCAGCCGGCCCAGCCCACGGGCTGCATGTGAATCGTAAGGGAACAGGGGGGTCTGCAAGGCCAGTGGGCTCTGCCCAGGGGCAGGGGTTCACTGACGTGTCTCCCCCAGTCTCAGCTGTCTATGACGTCACCCTGAATTTCCGGGGAAACAAGAACCCGTCTTTGCTGGGGATCCTCTACGGGAAGAAGTATGAGGCGGACATGTGTGTGAGGTGAGCTGGGGTCCCCCCTGGGGGTGGCGGCAGGCAGTGGGTGCTGGCCCTGCCGCCTTGACACAGCCCTCCCTGTGGCGGGCTGCCCCTACATGGAAGTGAGGGGACATCCGCCCTCCAGGACAGGCGGTTGTGGGGACAGACTGCCGTGCAAAGTCGGTGAGCAGGTGTGAGCTGAAGGCAGGGCGGCCAGTGCTCAACAGGCAGAGGGACCTCCAGCTGATGGCCACAGAGGCCCTTGGCGCAGGCGGAGCTGACAGTTGGGCAGTGCCCAGGAGGCCACACTGTTCCAGCCTGAGGGCAGATCCACGCCATCCCCTGACATGTCAGATCCGAGGCTCACACAGGCTTGTGGGGAAGGCAGGGGCAGGGCTGACCTCCGGCTCCTTGTGACCGCGGGGCTGAGCCTGCAGGCTCCACCCCAGCAGCCTCAGCCCCCTGTTCAGAGACCGTCCTCCTGTTAGGATGGGCTGGGGGTGCTGGTTAACATAGAGCTGCTTGGCTGGACTTAAGGAGCCCCAAGAATTCCCAAGAAGTGAAACTCCATCCAAGGCAGGGCCTCATGTAGCCCTTTAAACATCCCCGGATATTCAGAAGTGATTCCTGTTCATTTGTGCAGTGAGCATTTACCCAGTGTCTACCGTCTACAAGGCAAGAGGCTAGAGGCAGGGGTGGGGAGGGCAGGTAGAGGGGCCAGAGGACCAAGTCTGAACAGCGCTCACTGGAGAGACCACCGTACACTCAGTGGGAGGGAGGGATGGTGGGCGGGCGGCCCCTCCGGCTCACAGAATGGGGCCTGAAATCCCGCCTGGGGGCTGGACAAGGCGGAGCATGTCCCCTAGGACTTTTCCAGGCCTCAGGACTGTCTGGCGGTGCTCACGGGCACAGAGCCAGAACAGGAGGGGCTGCCTCCTTGGGAAGCCCTCACCGTTGCTCCCCCGGCCTCACTCAGATCCTGCACGGGCAGTGGTGCCCTGAGGCCTGCAGCCACAGCCCGGCATACGCACAGCTCTGATCTTTTCCGCAGTGGAGCCTGGGTCTCTCCCCGAGGCCGGCGGGGCAGGGGCGCCCACGGAACCTTCTGGCTTGAAGCTGTGCAGCTTGTGCAAGTGCCTTCGGCCCCAGAATCCGAGGGAGCTCGGTGCTTGAAAGGATAAGGGTCTGAGGGTGGAAGGATGCTCTTCTCTTCAGGCTCTGCCCTCAGTGGTTCCCGGTCCCAGTGAGAAGAGAGGTGCCCTGGGCGCCAGCTGTGTCTGCCCATGAAGGCCCTGACAGGCCCTCTTCATTTAGTCTTGGGGGCTTGAGCCCAAGCCCGACACAGGGACCTCCGGGCCCTGCCATGCCAGAGTGTCCAGGAGCAATCCTGTGAGCACGAGCCCCAGGCTTGGGGCCCCTTCTGAAGTCTGCGGTGGATTGGCCCCAAGGGCCAGGGTCTCAGTCCATCCTGGGAGGGGCGGCCCCAGGACCCTCGCCCTGGATCTCGAGAGCCCCTGGGGTCGGGGGAGCTGACCACCCCTGGTCAGGCCAGGACATGGTGTGAGCACAGCGTGTGGGGTGGGCCGGGACATGGCAGTAGCGGGAGCCCTGGGGGGCAGACTGTGTCCCTGTCCCAGTGAGGGGCGGGCGGGGCTCACACAGGCATGGTGGCCCCAGGCCAGAGCTGGCAGGTGGACACTCAACACGAGTCGGAGCAGACGGGCACGTTAGTTTGTCCATCTGCCTTTGGGGCTGTGTTTTACCTAATCTTATTTTAATAGACATATTCTTAGAACTTCTAGAAGCTTCAGCTTACCGTTTTGTGTAAGACCAGTATTCCAGTAAGTCTGAAACATACTTGCAGTCAGATGAGCCGAGGATCTCAGGGCTGATGGTTGCGCTGTGTCTCCCTGTCCCTTGCTGTGAAGACGCCCCGCTGGGTTCCCGCTGGCACTGGAGGCCGGCGCCCCGGGGGTGTCTTGAGTCAGCTCCAGGCGATAGATGCCTGTATGCAGATTTGTTTCTATGTCATCTCTTTAAATTCTTATTTTACATATTTTGTGCTGCAAATAACAGACACGCAGTAGAACCTGTATGTGGTAAATATGCGCGGCAGGTGTCTTCAGGGGAGAACAGCCCAGTGAGTTTGAACCTTCAAGAAGTCACACCCCTGCACACAAGCCTCTTCTGAACCTCGGTTCCTTGCTGAAGTGGGATCTGTGACAAGGGCCCCAAGCACGCATCCCCAAGTGTGGCCTGGGGCTCTTGGAGGCTCCCAGGGCCTTTGGGGTGCACAGAGCTTCCAGGAGGTCCTGTCTTCTCCGCCCCCTTTGAGCATACAGCGGGGCCTCACCAGATCTCCCAACAGCATGGGCGCTTGGAGAAATTCTACTCACATTTAAAATACGACAAAGATGGATAGATATTAACCCCCATAAAGCAGAGTTCTCAACTTTTAGGGACAGAAAGGCTAAGATGCCCCGCGGTGAGGGCCCTGGTATTACTCCTGCACCTGCGTGCGCTTGGAGCCCCCTCCTGGCGATCCTGAGCTACCACCGTTACCGCTCCTACCCTTCCTCTCGCGGGCTTGGTAATCCACAGGGTGGTTAGGTTTATAAATAAGTTAGTGTGCTAGCTGTAGTCAGCTGTTTGTTAATTAAGATTAAATTTCTAAATCTCTATTGCTTTTTATATTTGAAATAAGTAGATTTCATTTGTGAAATACATAATCTTCTTTGCCTAATGAAAGACACTTCATTTGTGATTATTTTCAAAGAATGAACTATTAAGAAAAACTAAAGCTCCTGCTGGAGCTAATAAATGATCACCCTTCACAGAGGAAATGGGGCCACGATCCGCCCCATTGAACTGCTCATGGGTGTCCCTTATGAAGCGCCGTGGCCTCCCGTGAACGGACTGCGCTCGGCCCTCCCTCCGTGGCCCCTGCAGCCCTGCTAAGCACCAGGCCGCCCCCCGCACCCTGGGGGAGTGCCCGAGGAGACATCACTGAGATGTTGGTGTGTTTCCAGGATCTGAGAGCGAGGCGTGGACAGGAAAAGCAGGGGCAGCAAGTACCCCTGCCCGACGTACAGTGACTCAGTTTCCCCTTTGAGGTTTGATGCCATCTGGGAATTCAGTTTGCTTTCAATCTTCTTATAAAACAGGAGGTTTCCTTTGGAAGAGGTCCCACTGGATGAAAAGGAAGCGGCTCAATGGCTTCATAAACTGTACCAGGAGAAGGTAAAGGGCTCAGCTTTCCCTGGGTTGGGGGAGAGGGGCCTTTCACCTGGAGGTTTCCAGGGGCCGCTGATAGGGTGGGCAGGTGGCACATGGACTTCCTCTGGAGACAGGAGTGCTCTGCTGTTCTCCAGACTTCTTTCTGATCCTTCTTTTCTTTTTTCTTAACTTTTGAGAAATCAACGAACTAGAGAAAAGTATAAAGGATAACATAATGTTTATGTAACCATGGCTAATAGCATTTTATCAAGTATTTTATTTTTTCATGTTAAAGAATTTATAGATATGTAGTGTGTCTATGTGTATATATAATTTATATAAAGAAACACAATGTAAATACATGAAAATACTTTTTTGACCACCACACCCAGCCCCTCTCCATTCCCCATACCATGTTCACTCCTGACTCTTACTTTCAGTTTGTTTAATTTATACAAATACACAGGATACTAGATTTCCATTTTTAGCATTGTGGGAGGCTTTCTTTAATAATTGGAAAACCTTTCCAGCATATAACAAATTGTATTTTAAATGCATTGAGGAGCTCTTAAGAAGAAAGGGAAATCTCTAAGGATAGAAAAAGGAGCTGGAGCTGGAATCAGTGTGAACCCGTAAGCTGGAGCCACCGCACTCTGCCAGCACACTTGCTGGCGCACTCCACCCAGTGCCTTGAGTTTTAATGCCTATTGGCAACAGAAGATAAGGGTTTGATCTAATTCAGGGCAGGAAGTTAGAAAAGTTAGAACTGAGAACTACATGAAGCTGGGTCCCTCTAAGAGTTTGACCCTCAGACATGAAACTGAAAAAGTGTACCTGCCTGCACAGGGAAATGACTCTGAAGCTTACCTTTCTCCTCTTGGTCTCAAAAAGTTCTCCCTGGTAATCATAATCCCAGGTCTGTCCTCAAATAGGTGTGGGGTCTGCATTTATACTAACAACATAGTTAGTATAACAGGCCAGAAGAACAAAGCCAATGTACCAACATTAAAAGGGGTTCTAAGTGGGTCATTCCAGATATCCTGAGAGAAGCATGTGCAAAACCGAGAGAGCATGACTCCAACCCAAGGCCGCCCAGGGTTCCACAGGTAAAATTCTGCTGGAGGAGAGCCCTAACCAAGGTCCACACAGGCGAGGCAGACGGAAAAAACAAAAATCAAAGTCCAGAAACTAGCTGTCGGGTAAAATCACTTGCCCTCACCTCTCCACCATGCTCTCTGTGTGGAGGGACAGCTGGCTTCCAGCAGACAGTTTGGTAAGGGAAATGAGACCAAGAGCCCACTTCTGGTGTTCTTGCCTCCTGGCAGCTCAAACACCATCACCATATAGCACGTGCTCTGGGTCCTACTCCAGGGGAAGGGGAGACAAAGGGACTTGAAGTGGTCAGGATAGCATATCTAAAATTCCAGAATCATTATGTTTAACGGAGGTTTGAAAGAGAAAACAAGAGGTGGTCGGGTGAGGTAGTCAGGAGACAGATTACCTCTGGTAGAGAGACGACTGCAGGTCAGTCCCAGTCAGTGCTCTGTCCGGAGACAGGTGGCATGGAATAACCCCCGGGAACCCACTTGAGGGGGAGGTGTTTCCTCCTGCAGTGTGATGCAGGTACACACAGCATGCGTTTGCATGGATGTTGCACTGCAATTAAAACAGGCGTCCTTATTGGGAAAGGGGTGAGTTGGCACCTGGATGATGCTGAGGCCCATGCACACAGCCCACTGACTGCAGCATTTGGGTGGCAGGTCCATGCTCAGGACAGCGTGAGATGGCCTTAGCCTACCTCAGGTGCAGGTGCCACCATCACATGGGGACAGACAAGACTCCAGCCCTTGGAGCCGAGGAAGTGGCTGCAGGCAGCCTGGCTGGTGGCCCCATGTCCTGCAGAGGGTCCGGGGCTCCAGGAGAAGCCCAGGGGCAGCAAAGGCATGCCTGGGTGGGGAATGAGGGTGGTGGTGCTGCAAGGGGCCACTGGTCTGGGGGCTCCACTGGCAGGAGTGTCAGCGAGGCCCCAGGATGTGGAAGGGAGGTGGAGTGGGCAGCTTGCTTGGTTGTGTGTGGAATTGCTGACAAGTCAGGGAAGGATGGCGTCCCCACTGCTGCCTGCAGGGTCAAGAGCAGGATGGGTGGAGGGTAAGCACGTACGTGAGGGTCATGAGTGTGTGCCCACACTCAAGGGTCAAACCTTGTACAGACCTGTGACCACAGTGCATTCTTAGAAAGGGAATGAGGCCCACCTCCCCATTCTGCCACGTCACCTCGGCCCTGCCTCCCCTGCACACGGCGGCCCTGGGACAGGGGCTCAGGGCAGAGAAAGGTCAAGGGGCTTTAGAAGGGCAGGGATGTTAGGGGCTGCTCAGGGAAGGGCCTTCCAGGGTGTCACCCTGAGGTGTCCCCATGGCATCGAGGTCAAGGTGCCCTGACCATGTGGCGCCAGAGACAGTGGGGCCGGCCACAGGTTGTATATAGAATGCAACTGTGGAAAGTTAAATGCAGAAAATAACAGAAAAAATAAACAGCTGACATTCCGCTCGCCCAGGCAATTAAGATTGTGTTGGTGTGCATCTTGCTAAACTTGGTCCTTTACCAAATACACACAGTCACTTTTTTTCTTTAAATGGAATTCTATGGTACTTCTTTCAAAAAATGTAACCCTTCATGGGTCTTTTGTCAGCATGGTGTGCGGTGGCCACAGAGAGCCCTATCGTATTAGGGTGGCAGCTTCCCCGTAGCCGACACAGGAAGGTCTAAGAGCTCCCCGTCCCCCGATTGAAAGTGCTCTGACCTGTCACCCCCCCCACCAGGTGTGCACCTGCTTTTCCCTCCCCCTGCTACCAGCCTCCAGGGAACCGAGGGGGAAGGAGTTAAGCCACTTTTTGTGGGCACTGAGACTGGCCAGGCATTGCCAGGACTTGCACCCAGGCTGCCGCCCTGTCCCCACCCTTCAGAGATGCCCAGGGGCCTGTCCCACTGCCGGGTGTGAGGGCTGAGGGGCTCATCATGTGCCAAGTGTGCCTGAATTGTTTTCCTGGGAAACTTGCTGGGTCGGAGGGCTTGTATTTTTTCAAGCTTTTGACGCGAGTTGCCAAGATTTTCCGCAAAGGTGCTGCCAGCTTCTGCCTGCAGCATATGTGATTTGTCCACTTTATTTGTGCAAAACTTTTATGGGTTAAATCATTTTTCATTGTCAATACTTATTGTTGAAAGAGTAGCATATAAAGAACCCACTTTCCCATTGACTCTTTCAGGATGCGCTGCAGGAGATGTACAACCAGAAGGGCGTGTTTCCAGGGGAAGAGTTCAAACCCACCAGGAGGCCGTGGACACTCTTGAACTTCCTCTCCTGGGCCACGGTTCTCCTGTCTCCTCTCGTCAGCTTTGTCTTGGGTGTCTTTGCAAGCGGATCCCCCCTCCTGATCCTGACGTTCCTGGGGTTTGTTGGGGCAGGTAAAAAACGTGAACCAGCCATGGCGTGCTTGCCTGGAGACCTCATGGGTGCCCTGGGGCCACAAGGTGGTGGGCCATGGGGGGGCCAGGGTCCCACCAGAGCCTTGCTAGCCTCAGAGAGCGGGCCTTGGCCATGAAGTCGCAGGCTCTGGAGGCCACAGCCAGGTGTCAGCCATCTCCACAAGGCTGGCCAGATCTCTGCCCCTGGGGCACCCTATGCTGAGGCCTGGCTGTGCCCCAAGCCTATGGGCGGGCGCTGAGCTGCTCCGTCCACACCACGGCTCTGAGGGCCTTGGGTCAGCGTGATGGCCTGAAGGTCTCCAGGCACATTTCCATCAGTTTGCAGTCCTGAGCCCAGTGCCGGGTGCCTTGAAGGACGCCCCAAGTACCTTGATGGATAACGGGCACCTAGTCTGTCCCTGGTACCTGGAGGGGACTTGAAGCCCCTCCCCACTGCCTCAGGTCTGCAGCCCCTAACAGGCCCACCGGCCCTGCTCACTGGAGGAGCAGAGGCCATCTGCCCCCGGTCCAGGCTGACCGGGTGTGTGGGGCATTGGGAGGATGGAGAGAGGGCTGCCTGCCACCCCCATGGGGAGCCAGAGGCCAGAGGTTGGGGCCCTCCCAGAATGGTTTCTGCAGCTTGACACAAAGCCACACGGTAACCTCGCCTTTTTCCTGTTTTCAAGCTTCCTTTGGAGTTCGCCGACTGATAGGAGTCACTGAGATAGAAAAAGGCTCCAGCTATGGAAACCAAGAATTTAAGAAAAAGGAATAATTAATGGCTGTGAGTGAACACACATGACCTGACAGTGGTTCCAATTAACTCAATTAAAACAGAACAACGCACAGAGCAGGAAAAAAGACACTTAGAAACTATTTTTCTTATTAACTGGTGACTAATATTGACCAATAAAACTTGAGCCAAGAGCGAACAGTCAGAAGGCCTGCAGATGAGGGTGCTGGCCTTGCACCTGCTCAGGGCCCGTGTGTCCTCAGGGAGCACGGGGCTCCAGGCAGACGTACTGGGGGGTCACTCCTGGGATAACGGGTTTCAACCCCATGCAGTCTCTCAAGGACGCTGCCTGCCGGAGGGAGCCTTCGGTTGCTTTCTCTTCTTGAACTTAGACCCTGTTTTTGTTTGTTATCAACTATTTCTAGAACTTACCCTGGCCCCCCACCTCTTCCCCTATACCCCAGCAAACTCTTCCCAACTCTTGCCCTGTCCTCCTGGGAGCAGATGTGACATGGTCGCCATCCTGCAAAGCACCCGCTTGTCCAGCTCTGCTCGGCACCGCATTTCGCTTTCAGACAGTGGAGTGGGGCCGTGGAGAAAGTTCTGGTGATAAGCACACACTGGGTGCATCAGATGGGCTTGGAGCCTGCACGGGCTGGCTGCAGGCCACCTCCCCATTTCAGTTTCCACAGCATCGCTGGCTGTTACCTACCCAACTGTGTGTGTAAATACCTTAAGTCTGTTTTTAAAGTGGATGGAGCCCAAAAACCTGGTGAAATATGGAGTCCTCCAGTTCCCGGGGCTCCCCTGTCCCTTTTGCCCTTTTACTCATGAAGCTGAGTGTGCCTGAGGGAGACCTCTGTCCTGCAGTCCACAGGACTGTCAGATGCTTTTTAAAAAGCTGTGTCACCACCACACCTCTGTCTTCTAAAGGTGGTTGGAGACCTAACAAGGAGCTCATTGGCTTTTAGAGATTTTATTTTCCCAGTCAGTCTAGTGGTGGCTTTCAACTTCCTAGTGAAAACAAGAGGCGTGAGACTTTCCACCTCCCCACCCTCCCTTCCCCAGCAGGTGCTGGTCTTTGGGGGCAGGCATCACCTGGCCTGGCCAGGCCATAGCCTCGGCCCAGCAGGTGCTAGCTCTTCCTCAGCCCCGTCCTGTGTCCCGGCAGCCTGAGCTTGGCGGGCTGGGAGCTGCTGGGGCTGACTAGAGGGCAGGATCTGGCCTCCCCGAGTCAGACCCCCACACCCAAGGCTCGGCCAGTCCATCCGCTGTAGTGCATCTGCAGGGGATGCTCTTCTTAAATTTCCCACTTGCTTTTTAAAAGTCACACTCCTCATCTTTTTTAGCAAAGGAAAGAAAAATAACGGGTGTTATCTCTGACAAACTGTAACCAGCATTCTGAATAGAGGCAGGTTGAGTTTTCTAGGGGAAAAAAAATGGAGGAAAGAAGCATGGAAAAAATTATAAACTAAATTGGAAAAGTACCCATTGACCCTAAGTATGTATTTTGGGAAGAGTTATTGAGCCAGCGTGTATTTATTCTCTACAGTGACAACACTATTACACTCTGGGAACTGTAGTGGTGCAGAAACAGAAGCATAAAACCACAGGTTTATGCTCAGGGCTCAGGAGCCGTAGGGAACGAGCATGATTAAAACAACAAATCAGCTTTAAGATGCTTTTGTTTAGAGTGTGCTTCCCTCTGTCTTAAAGCACATCTCACCTCCTGCCCTTCACCACCTTGGGGGCGAACCGTGAGCACAGCCACTTACACTGTGGTGAGCAACCACTGTAGGTTTTATTTTTCTTCATATAATAAGCTGCTCATCTGTCTTTATCTGTGTTTGCTAATTCACTGATACCTAAAAAAAAAACCTTAGAAGAAAAGCTAAAAGTTACTACTGAGCAGATACATTGCCTGGAAAATACAAATTTAAATCTTTCACCCTATAATTAATACTTCTTGTTTCCCAGATAAGTTCCCTCCTCTTGAAATTGATATATAATCAGTAAACTTGACACTGAATGAATGAATGAACTGTGAACACTTCTAAAATGGAGACTGAGACCACTAGGAGGTTTTAGATCTCAGTGATTTCCTTCTGATTTAATATAGATTAGCTTGTGCATTTGAATACCAAGACCTTTGAGAGCAATAAAAACTGCACCATGAATGTTTGTTTTTTTTTTGGAGGGGGTACATTTTGCTTTTCATCATTTCAGAAGGAAAAGGGGAGGGGAACTCCTTTAATTTTTAAGTTGAAATAATAAAAGTAAAGTAGTGCTTTTCTTTTTCTCTTTATACCCTACAACTGAGCTTCGTCTGTTGCTGACATGCCCAAACTCAAACTGGACATTGGGACTCTCTGTGCTGATCACTGCTGTGGGCACATGCTCCAGGCCTGTAGCTGATGCCCCACGCTGGTCCTGGAGCTAGGGGGGTGTTGGTTGGCCCACTTTGCTGGGCCTGCCCCATTGCTCACAGTACACCTCCAGAGCCAGCCCTGACCCCGAGGGCACACAGGGAGACCACCCTTCTGTACGCTTCCTGCAGGAGGAGCGGCCAGCCTGGCCACTGGCTGACCTGACTCAGCCCTTGGGCTGGGCGCTGTCTCTGGTCTTCTGGCATGTAGCCTGGCCTGCCTAATGAGTGGGGTCTGGGCTGTGGGCCCTCCCTGTGTGTCCAGCTGGGAGAGGGTCCAATCCTGGCCCCTCCAGGGAGACCCAGGGGCTGCTGAACTCCAGGGAGAGTTCCTGTGGCTTTTCATAGTGACTCTATGGCTGCTACCAGCACCTGGGGACTTCCTGATAGCATTGTAAGCGGTGACTGTCCCCACTGCATGCAAGTGAGCAGACAGACGCTGGGGAAAGGCCTAGCTGGTCAGAAGGAAAGCATGTCATAGTTTTCAGTTAACCACAAGAAGTAACACTGGTTATCCAGTGCTTGGGGATGGCATCCTAGATGCATGGCCCTGTTTGAGACCCGCTCTGCCGTCCCGATGTCCTCAAGATGCAGAGTTTGGTTGGAGAAAGAAGCTCCGAATATACAAACGACTAAATAACAAGCACCTACTTATAAAAATCAATGCAGGTATACCCTCTGATCACTTTTGAATCTTTCTCTTGTCTGTCCCTGTCAGCCCTCCTCAGTGTACCATGGCATGAGAGTCCCCCCTGACTTAACTAGTTCAGTTACTGAGCATTGAAATTGATCTGAAAAAAAAGTGACCTGTGCAGTCACGTGCAATTCAGAGCTGTCTCTAGGCGACCCACACCCATGTCACTGCCGATGTCAGATTTGTGTTAAAGAGTAAGTAACTGCATGTCGCTTTGTCTCTGCCCGAGACACCTCTAGGACAAGCCAAATAGAATCTTTCAGCCAGGCTGATTTTCATGCTGCAAACTCCTCACCAATAGCTGCATGCTTTCCCAGCATGCAACACTCGGTGTTCAATGGTGTGATGTGGCTTCTGACCTCTGCAGTGTAACCAGGCTCAGTGCTGAAACGGTGGGCCTGACATGCCCGCCTGCCTTCTCTGTGGACACTGCACGTCCCTGGCCCTCGTGCTTGCTCCTTTCTCTACTGAGTGAGCTCCCAAAGCGCCTGGTGGCGGGGCCAGCTGCTGTGCCCCAGATCCTGTGTGGGACTGCCTGGGTGCTTGCGCACATCAGAGTCCCACATTCTTGCATGTCAGGGCCAGGGTGCAAAAATGCATGGGGTTTGGATAGAAGATGTAACCTGCGTTCCACTTGACTGAGGGCTGGACACACATGAACTAAGTTTTAGCTCACTGAAAATGGCAGCATTCTCAAAAAGTGCTCAGGAAAGCAAAGGAGGAGAACTACTTCTAGGGAATAGTAAGAACTTCCCAGAGACATTGACGCCAGTCAGCCCTGGTGGCCTCCACATTTTCTTTTTAAAAACAACTGAATTGCTTTAAAATTTTAAGCTTTGTAATGACAAGTTCATCTGGAATCTTTTTTCTTTTCTTCACTAAACTTCAGTTTCTTAACTTTTCGTTGCACAAGTATTTGGACAGAAGTCAAACTCTGAATGAGATACTGAAATGCACTGAACTGTATTAAATTAAACTGGAGTTACTTGATACAATGAAGAAATGCATCTGATCTACTTGTATTTATTGTCTCAGAACTATACATTGTGACAATCAAATGTTACTTGCCTAAATGCCAAGAAGTACAACTGGCTTCTTAATCACAGAGGTGGCCAGCAGGTGCTGTAACTGTAAATGAAAATCTCTTTGGAAAACCTCATAAACCATTGACTCAAGTGGGTGTGACAGACATTGGGGTTCTTTTTCTATGCTTCATAATCTGCCATATCTGGCCAGTTTCAGAGCGTGATACATTGTATACAGGGTACAAATGTATTATATGGATGTTTTCTTTTGTATGCTTTGTTTTTACAAATTTTGCTACTCAAGCTTTATGTAGTTGAAGATAGTGGTATTTTCCGTCTATATGAGCCTTGGGTGGGAAGGGGGATAGTAGCTAACTTAGACTTTAACAGCTGTGTCCCAAAAAGCTGGCTGTGTTTGCCATGCTCTGCGGAGATCACTTTGTACATGGCTTGTGCGAGCCTGCCTCAGCGGCAGAACTTTGTAGATAAAATGCTGCGAGCGTCATACACATTTATTAAAATTGCTGCTGTGAAAGAGAGGGATAAAATATGCACAATAAGGGAGAAAGTGACCAGTCTGCCTCATTTTGTTCCTTTGTTTCCAGTCGGCACATTCTTCCACGGGAAGCAGAGGTCTTCCAGGCACTTAATGTCCCGGGGCCACCCACCTGCACAGACCATCCCCATGGGTCTTTGAGGCTGTCTTGCTGATCCACTTTTCAAGACTCTCCATTTCACATAAGTTGTTCTGGGGAGGGAAAATCGAGGAGAGCCGTCATCAGGCAGAAGCAAGGGAGTAAATCCATCGGTGCATGAAGTGTGCTACCTGGCCCTTTGCCTAAAAATCAGTCTTTAAAGCAATGAGCGAGGTTTTTCCGAAGTAGACATGTATATATCAAAAGCTATTTTTTGTAAAAACAAATTCATTCTGTGGAGAAAACCAAAGGATTTTTCTTCTTTGTAAAGAAAAGAACTCTTGATAGAACCCAGAGCTGATCCAGGTTCTCATTTGTCTGTCTCATGAAAATAAATTGGACAAAAAGAAGCTTGGTGTCATGGGTGCTTCCGGAGCAGCCCATGTGCTCTGCTGCTGGGGCTGCGTGGCTGCCACGGCGGTGACAGCAGGGAAGCCCCAGTCCATGCTCTGCCCCGGCCACCCGAGGACTGGAAAGCCCAGGCTCAGATGGGCTGTCTTTAAAGCCCCACATCTAGCCGTGTTTTACTTTTTATTAATCTATCCTGAATTCAGAGCATATGTGTACATGTGTGTGCATGCATGTGCCTACACACATATGCACCATATACTGGCACGTGCACACAGTACAGGTAGGTTTAGAATTTAGGGTGGTGGGATGCTCTTCTCAGGAGACGAACCCAACCCAATGGGCCTGGGGGCATGTGGTGGTTTGGAGTGGGTCCGACCCTTGTTCCCTGTGCCCTCAGCTTTGCTGCACTTCAGCCCCTGGTGTGTTCGAACACAAGTCTCCGTGGGCAGAGACCGGGGCTGTGGAAGGCCCCCTCGGACTGACCCACCCTGGGTTTCATAGGCATTTGGAACACCCAGGAACAGGGCTGAGCTTGATCACGAGGCCCGCCCGCTTCTGCTGGCCCACATCCCACTCTGCTGGGGAGACTCAGAATGTAACAGCCACTCAGAATGTAACAGCACCTGATGCTGTGAGAAGTATATATGAGTACATGTGCATGCATGTGTGTACACAGTCACACACACACACCAGCACAGGTGCACATGCATACACACATGCCTATACATGTGTACATACTCCTGAACAGGCACACGTGTACCAGCACATGCATACAAATGCATGGGTACACATGCATACATGCACACATAGGTGTTCACATGCACCCCAAACAGTAATGGGAAACCTTGGGATTGTCATATTTGAGCCCTGTTAGGAAATGGGATGAAGTCACAAACTTACACTTTGGAAATCGTCCTTATTTTTGTTACTCCTCCTGGAGTAACTCCTGAACCCTGGACTGTCCAGGGCAGCTGTGGAATGTATGGAAAGGAAGGAAGGAAGGCTCTTCTTGAAGACGGTGCTCCCTGAAGACTTAAACCTCAGTGAAGAAGTCAAATTGTCCTGTGATGTCTCAGAGGAAGAGGGTGATGTCACTTGTTCCGTGCACCAGCTCCACCCTGTAGCGGAGAGAGCATCCCGCCCACAGGAGAGACATGCCAAAAAGCATATTGCAGAAGGGGCAAAATGAATGTGCGGGTGGTGTGATGGGGGGCAGGGCTGGGTTCCCCAGCTGTGTGGAGAGGAGCCAACCAGCTGAGACTGCACTTGGGGAGCCAGTAAGGCCCCCACTACCTCAGGGGGTGTGAGTCCATGGCGGGGATGATTGCTCCATCTGGAAGCAAGACCCAGCACCATCCCAGCTCTGTTCCCTGTCCCCATACTCCCTGAGGGGAGGCCTCTGGGTGCAGAGGGGGGCTGAGATCTCAGAGCACTCTGAAACAGGAGATGTGCGCAGGGCCCGCAGGTGTCCTGGGGTGTCCTTGGGGACAAGCAAAGGCTAAATGATCTTAAACAGAGGTGCGCAGAGGGGACGGCAGCTGGAGGCAGTGCATGCAGCCTGTTTGCAAAACTACTGCAGGAGCTATGGTTCCCCCAGGGGAGCATCTTGAGAGAAGTCTCTTTCCATCTGCCACCTGTCACGGAGGGGACAGGAGCCCAGACCTCTGCCAGGGCCAGAGACTCGTGAGGACTCATGGAGCTGTCAGTCCTGGGCGCGGAGCAGGGGTACAACCTGGCCAGGCTGTCTGGGAGGGCACTGTGCGCCTGCCCTGGGGTCGCCAGCCACCTGGCCTCTCCCGGGTTCGCAATCACTGGTCAGGACTAGAGAGCCTTCCAGAACACAGTTTCCCTGCAAACCACTTTAGAATGCACAACTTCCTCATGAAGAATTCTGATAATGTCAGTCGCACCTGTCCCAGACTCTATCAGAAACTTGACCAACTGGCCCAGTCCAAGGCCATCAGATTTACCCTTCACCCTATGAAAAATGGGGAGGTGTCTGCCAGCTCTGGGGACCTTGCCATCTGGACACCACAGTAACTGTGCTTATGGTCTCTGGGTGCGACCTTCATTCAATGCCAGAGATGGTAGAGCAGGTACGAATCGTTGGCCATTCCTCCAGCTCAAACTCTTGTTCTACTGCTTCCAGCCAGAAAGTAGTGGCAGAGACCAGCCTGCAGTGGCCTTTTTGCTAGTGGCAGACCTGGAGCTGAAGAAGATGGTGAGGCGGTCCTCTGAGGCCTGTGGAGGGCATGCTGCACGGGCCTGCCAGTGGGCACCCAGCCCAGGGTTTAGAGGGTGTGGAGTCCAGAGCACACATCCTCGCCCCTGCTGGCCTCTTTCTCCAGGACAGCCCTGCACACCTCCAGGGTGTAGCTGTGGACCTGCTGGTCCTGTTTGCAGTGCACAAAGAAGCACCCATCCTCAGGCAGATCAGCTTCCAGGAGGCTCACAAGGGTCTCAGGCCTGCCAGTGGCTGGGGGTGGACGAGGCTGCTGAGAGCCATGTGCACACCTCTTGGCTGCAGGGCCCTTCCCTGTGTAGGTCCACACTGAGCCCAGCTGAACTTTCTTTTTGTTTCACTCTGTCCCCGGTGAGGGAAATTTGTTTTTATTATCCTGCACGCTGTTCCTGCTCAGTCTTTTTGAAATGCCTCTTCCAGTGCCCTTAACATGAGGGGATTCTGTCCTCTGTCCCAGTCCTGTGTGGGCAGATCATTCAGGGGAATCTGCCTGGGAGTTTTCCCATAGGCTCCCCCCATTGGGGAGCACAGGTGAGCCACGAGGAAGCAAGCACCCTTCCTGCTTGCCCCTGCTTGAGCCTGCTGAAATGGCTGTGCCCCCTCCTCCCCCCAGTGGGTGCTGAGACCAATCTGAGGGTCAAAGGATGCCCCTTCTTCAGGACACACCAACAGCCAGCAGAGCAGCCACCTCTGGGAATGTCTTGGGTCTCTGGGGTTGCGGGAGGAGAGGGGTTGGTTCTCAGTGGACAGATGGTTCCTGGGCCCTGCCCGCCCAGTGCCTGGTGAGGTCAGCACCTGGCAGTCCCCCTCACATGCCCCCCAGCATGCTAGTCTCTTTCCATCTGCCACCTGTCACGGAGGGGACAGGAGCCCAGACCTCTGCCAGGGCCAGAGACTCGTGAGGACTCATGGAGCTGTCAGTCCTGGGCGCGGGGCAGGGGTACAACCTGGCCAGGCTGTCTGGGAGGGCACTGTGCGCCTGCCCTGGGGTCGCCAGCCACCTGGCCTCTCCCGGGTTCGCAATCACTGGTCAGGACTAGAGAGCCTTCCAGAACACAGTTTCCCTGCAAACCACTTTAGAATGCACAACTTCCTCATGAAGAATTCTGATAATGTCAGTCGCACCTGTCCCAGACTCTATCAGAAACTTGACCAACTGGCCCAGTCCAAGGCCATCAGATTTACCCTTCACCCTATGAAAAATGGGGAGGTGTCTGCCAGCTCTGGGGACCTTGCCATCTGGACACCACAGTAACTGTGCTTATGGTCTCTGGGTGCGACCTTCATTCAATGCCAGAGATGGTAGAGCAGGTACGAATCGTTGGCCATTCCTCCAGCTCAAACTCTTGTTCTACTGCTTCCAGCCAGAAAGTAGTGGCAGAGACCAGCCTGCAGTGGCCTTTTTGCTAGTGGCAGACCTGGAGCTGAAGAAGATGGTGAGGCGGTCCTCTGAGGCCTGTGGAGGGCATGCTGCACGGGCCTGCCAGTGGGCACCCAGCCCAGGGTTTAGAGGGTGTGGAGTCCAGAGCACACATCCTCGCCCCTGCTGGCCTCTTTCTCCAGGACAGCCCTGCACACCTCCAGGGTGTAGCTGTGGACCTGCTGGTCCTGTTTGCAGTGCACAAAGAAGCACCCATCCTCAGGCAGATCAGCTTCCAGGAGGCTCACAAGGGTCTCAGGCCTGCC